TAATCTTCAGTTTCAGTCTTCGACGTTTGCTGAAGGATCTTTGGTGTGAGTGTTGTTTTCTTGAAGTATCGTTGTCTCTGAATGAATTTCAAAACAAGTTCTTCAGCAATCACTGAACATGCTCAGTGTATTGATCGCTGGAACTGAAATTACAGATACAGAAATACATCGAAAGGAAAAAGGGATTATCATTAAATCACTGAGAGAGAGGATCAACAATATTCATGTTTATTTATTTATTAAAGAGATCCCTTTATTAATAAACAAGCATAAATGATTTACTGAACGTTTGATTCGTTTATGATTTACCCATACACGCTAACATTAAAAATTATCTTTTATATTTTTAATATATAATTTAATTAGATATTGATATTAATATAAATAAAAACACATATAACAACACACCATAAAAAATTGAGTTAGAAGAATTGGTTTTGGTATCAATTATGAATTCATCCTTTTATCTAAAAATTATGATTTTAATTCCTATATAAAATATATTAAATTATATTATCATAAATAACAATAAAATAATATTATTTTTATGTATTATATATTTATCAAAAAATATATACTAAAATACCAAAAAAGAAATCAAAAAATATTTAATAGATCAAAAAGGACGGTAATAAAAAGACTAAAATACCCCTAAAAAACCATCGACAACGAACAACGTCCCCTACTACCTACCCATAAGTTTCAGTTGAGGGTCCCTCTAATTATTTTTGTTATCACAGTAACGATCTTGTTATTTTCTTTGTAACTTTTCGTTCAGAGTTTGACAAAATAAATTTAGTGAACTACGGTTTTTGTTCCTTCGCTTTGTTGTTTAAACTGTTTTCATCTATTGTCTTTACAGCAAAAGTTATCATCAATTTGGTTTTTAATTCGTTTTGCTTTTTGTCCCTTGTTGACGAATTTCTAATAAGTTGAAGAATTTCTAATAAGTCGAGGTCTTTGTTGTCTTTTATCATAATGTGTGTGTATATATATATATATATAGAGGAGCGATCAAATGAAAACCACTCCAATTTGTAAAAACCGTAAAAACTACTCTCATCCATCGTTAATCTTATGAAATTTTTTCATGAAATTGTTAATCTTGTGAAATTGTTTCATATAATACTTTTTTGATGAAGTTGTTTCATATGTGGTTATGAAATTGTTTCATATACTACTTAATGAAATTTAATAAAACTGTTTCATGTATTTCTCTAAAATTAGATTAATAAAGATGATAATATCCATGATTAACACCCTCTACAATAAAAATGGTTAATCAACCTCTCATAATTACAAAAAAATGAACAAAATAAAAAATTATGATTGGTTGAATGAGGTTTTCACGATTTTTACAAATTAAGTGGTTTTTTTTTAAACCCACCCCTATGTGTGTGTGTATATATATATATATATATAGAGAGAGAGAGAGAGAGAATGAATGAGGCACAACATATTGAAAAATACCTTAGTAATCAATTAATTTCAGGGTTAGTCGTGTGATTTTTGATGTCCTGTGTGAAAATTCTATAAAAAAAAATTCTCTATGTTAATTTTTTATGCAAACGAACTAAAAAAACATATGATTTTTAAAGGGTTTGGAACCTAGTCAAGCTAGGTGTCTCATTCCCATTAATTATAATAATAAAAAATAAAATGGGGGGCATTAAAACCAAAACCCCGAATTATAAAATATAGAATGATAAAAGAATAAAACATGGATTAAGATCGTACTTCCTTTTTCCCGATTTTCCTTTTTCTAATTTGAAATTAGCACAATAGATTTTTTACTTTAATATACGGAACTTAAAAGACAAAAAAAACTATAATTAGTTTTTAACTACAATCGTAAAATAAATCAAAATTGATGCCAAAGTAAGCAAACAACAAAACTCAGAGACTTACACATTTAGAGACTAAAGTCTAAATATAATGCGGTAATGTCAAACCTCAAAGTAAACAAAAGTCAAAAGAACAATGATAAATTGTATAATTCATATAATATATGCTATTATGCATTGCAAAAACTTAGTGTCCAATAAAGCAATACCACAATATGTTGTTATTGTTGTGTAACGAGCTTTAACTACACTAATAGAGTGATGTGTTCATGTGCATTGCAAATTTTTCAAATTTCAAAATGCAAGATAAAGACTTATTATCAAAATGACAAAAGTCTCTTAGTGTTATCCCGGTAGGTTTACAACCCACACGACCAGACATGACGTAATTTTATAATACTAATTAGAAATTTAGATTTTTTTTTTGGAAAAAAAATAAATTAAAGATTCATAAATCATAATATAACTCATACATCAATTCAACAAGTTCAATCAACAAAAGAAATCAGTCATGGGATCATGTATAACACATGTTCTCGAAAAGCATTTTCAATTCCGGATATGGAAAAAACCTAGCACCAATAAATGTGAAATCTACATTAGATTTTTTGAAAGATTTTTTAAGTAGTGTATATATATATATATATATATATATATATATATATTATCTATACTATATTATAAAATATGATAATTTTTTTAAAAAATTATTTTTTATGTATGAATTATTGTTTATCGATGCATATTACTTAAAATTTAAGATTACAAGTAATTTTACGTAAGTACAACTTATTAAAGCTTCATATTTAAATTCGTGTAACTAACTACTGATAAACATAATCAAATATAGGATAAACATCCTTTAAATATAGAAAATCTAAAATATAATTAAGATAATTATTGAGTTCTAACAAAATATTTAATTATTATTTTTATAAAAAAATTATATTACTTAGACCAAAATTAATCTATATCTATACTATATCATAAAATATTTGATAAAAACTCTTAAAAATCATTTTTTATATATAAAATATTATTTATTGATAAATATTACTTAAAATTTAATATTACAAGTAATTTTACTTAACTACAACTTATTAAGAATACAACTTATTTTACGTGATTACAAATTATATCTCTCTCTCTATATATATAGTTGTGTGCACCGAAGTCCCTAACCCCATCTGGTTGGCTTCTTAGCATTTTCAACATGTCGTCGGCCGACGAAATCATGAAAGAGGTCCCTGGTCTTATTCGTGTCTTCAAAGACGGACGAATCCAGAAATTTCGCCTCCCCATTCTTGTTCCCGCCGGCGTCGATCCTTCATCGGGGGTCAATTCAAAAGACGTCGTATTTTCACCGGAAAACAATATCTTCGCCAGGCTTTACATCCCAAAAACCACAACCCCAAACCACAAACTCCCGCTTGTAATATTCTTTCACGGCGGTGGATTCATCATCGAATCTGCTGCCTCCTCTAACTACCACAACTTCCTCAGCCTCGTGGTTGCAGAATCCAACGTCGTCGTCGTCTCCGTTGACTACAGACTCGCGCCGGAGTTTCCCCTGCCGGTGGCTTACGAAGACTCCTGGGAAGCGATCAAATGGGTCGCGCAGCATGTTAACGGGAACGGTCCAGATCCATGGCTAAACGAATACGCCGATCTTCAAAACATCTTCCTCGCCGGCGACAGTGCCGGAGGTAACATATCCCACCACATGGCTATCCGGATCGGGTCGGATATTCTGGAAGGCTTACGGTTCCGAGGAGCTATCTTGCTGCACCCGTATTTCTGGGGCAAAGAACGGGTCGGTAATGAATCCGATTCCATTGAAGCAGAGGTGATCGGTATTCTGGATGACTTGTGGTCTTTGGTTCACCCAGGAGGCAGTGGGTCAGATGATCCGTTAATCAACCCGGGTATGGATCCGAAAATAGCGGGTATGGGTTGCTCCAAGATACTGGTTTGTGTTGGTGGAAATGATTTTTTGAGGGAAAGAAATTGGTATTATAAACAAGTGCTTGAAAAGAGTGGGTGGAAGGGAGAATTGGAGGTGGTGGAGGATGAGGGGGAAGGACACGTGTTCTTCCTAATAAACCCTTCTTCCCTAAATGCTTGTACTTTGCGCACTAGAATTTGTACCTTCATCAATCACAATTGAGAAACACATGGTTCATTGTAATACAATAAGTCTACTATCATCTCCACTTATCGAATAAAACTCTTTATCTTTATCATTATCATTGTTTTTATCGGATAAGATTTTTGACCATTATAATATTCATTAGATAAAAAAAATTATTCTGTAAATACTTACCAGGTAAGCGTTTAGTAAACGGCATTTTAGATATCACATTGGAAAGCGTACCGCTTGTTCATGAAAAAGTATTGAGAAATGTGCCATAATATTATTCATTTATTTGAATATTTAATACAACACAAGTGTTCAACAATTTCTATGACAATAATTTTTATGAAACGGTAATGGTACAATTAGGGTGTATAAAAGTTGTCCGGTCCAATTTAAACCGATCTGTTTGATTAGAATCGATCGATCATAATCGGATATCCAATTGTAATTAGATCGGATCATATCTAAACTTTCAACGTCCAAATTGGATCAGTCGGTTTTTGGATGACAGCCTAACATCCAATACAACTGAACCAATCCGACCCAATGAGCATCCAATGGGTATACGATTATCATTCAACGACTATCCAATTAATGATTATTTGCCATAACCAAATTTAACAGTTTAATTTGCCAAGCTTTGGGTATGCTATTTGAATATGGTTCTTGTTTGATAAGCAAGAAAATAGTTCTTACCAAAGGGCTTCTGGTCTAGTGATATTATAGTTTTTGGCATTTTAAGAGGTCAGAGATTCAAACCTCATCAAGGATGAAGAATTTATATGAGTTTATTTATTGTATTTACCATATATAAATATTATATAATTAAAAAAAAGGTTTTTTTCCTTATGAAAATGACATAAAAGAATGTACGATCCAAAATAGTACATAGTTGACTATTAACCTTTAAAATGCATTGCATCTTTACATAACTTGACTATAATCAACCACGTTAACCATGATACGAGTCAATTCACACCAGATAACCATACAAAGAGATAAAAATAAAGAAGTTGACTTGAGGGTTTGAGTTTACGGATTAAAAATGTCGTCGTATTGTGCGGGTACCCAACTGATATAGTTATATATACACATACATAAATGTATTAAGTTGAACTAGAAGGGTACTCGTACAATGCAGCAAGATACATCTCGATTTTAATGTTTTATTTTATTTTTTGTCGCTGTCGATGTTACAATAAGATTTTATGTGTTTTTAAGAAAACAATAATGATTTTATTTTTGAATAAAATATAAGTTTGAAAATTTCATAAAAATTTAATATATATATATATATATATTAATGTTAATATCAAATCAATTATTTAAAAGTTCTTATTTTTATGTTATTTCTTTAATTTATTTAAGTATAATTTAATTTAGGTTTAATAATAAAATAATTTATTTTTGGTTTAATAATATAACATTTTGTAATAATTAAATATTCTGTTATAACTCAATGATTATCATAATTATATTTTAGTTTTTTTATGTTCAAAATGAGATGTTTATATTGTATTGATTATGTTTATCTGCAATTAGTTACACGAAGTCAGATATGGAACTTTAATTAGTTGTACTTATGCACAATCTACTTGTAATATTGAGTTTTAAGTAACATGCATTAATAAACAGTACTTTATGCATAAAAAGTGGTTTTTAAGCGTTTTTGTCAAATGCTTTATAATATAATATAGATATTAATGTTTTTATATTGTTATCATATATTAATGGGTAACTTAATTTACTTTTTATATTTCTCGAGTAAAATAGTTCATGATAATTAAATCATAAACAAGACGAGGCCGAAAAAGTAAATTCACTGAAAATTGTTGTTTAACAATTTCTATATTGTTTTAGAAACATTATACTATGATTACATTTAGAGTAACATTAAAATGTTTACTATAATAAATTAGATATAAAATAATTACTATATTTATGAATTTATGTTGTACATATATGTTTGGAGTTTAACAGTATTATTTACAGTTTAAAACGAAATTTTGTTTCACCATTTATCCATTACTCATTTTGTTACCCGTTATTTTAATGGGTAGGATAGGATATGGATAATAAGTTTATGAGATGAATAATTATTTGTTTTTCTATTCGCTATTTTAAATGGATTGGATAACAAAATAACTCTTATCCTACCAGTTGCCAGCCCTACCTTCAAGCACCATCACTCCCACCTTGCCCCCAACCACCAAAAAGCACGACCACTCCACCACCAACCCCAAGCACCTCCCCTCCCTCCCTCCCTCCAAAACACTGCCCCCTAGTGGTTGGTGGGTGGTGGATGGTGGTGCTTAGTGGTGGTTGAAGGGGGTGAGGTAGGGTGGTTTTGATTGTGGTAGTTGGATTGAGTCGTTTTGATTTATTTATTAACTTATGCTACTATTAAATACAAATATATATATATATATATATATATATATATATATATATTTGCTGAATACCGCCTAATGCGTGGTACAAACACGAGTTCTTATTTTTGAAAAATATCAGTAGTTTGACATAACAAAAAGGAGAAAATTTGTTGGTGCAAGTATACCAAAAACTTATTGTTAAAATATGCACTTCACAACAAGTAAATTTTGATGATAACAAACTAAATCCGACTTACTGTTTGACTACTATAGTAGATAAAACATATGATGAATTATTACTGTAATCTCGATAAATGCTTGTAGATTTACACAAGTAACAAGCACAATTCAACACGAGGCTAGCGTTTTAAAAAAGTAAATTTATCAAGTCTTCAGTTATCAACCACATAATTATTAGATGCATAAATCTAAGTTGATTAGGGATTTAGGGTTAGAACCGAGATCTGTGTAGAATTATATATCATCGGTGCTAAATATATCACCAACATGTTGGCAAGTTGAATTGGGCTGAGCTAGACCTAAACCAATATCAACCTTAGTAATTGGCATTTTAACGTTTAGTCAAAATAGCGGGTGGCGACTTAGTTCCCATTAAGAGAAAAATGAAACATCCCGCCGTGTACAAAATAACTTTTGTGGTTGAGTACAGACGTTTCTTTCCTCCCCACAAATCCGTTCTCTTCTTTTTGAAAGAAGGGGAGCTTCTGGTTCTGTAGGTGCTTGAAAAGTTAAATGACATTAATTGTCAGGTTGAGTTGATGGTTTGACAATCTGATTGTAGTCTTGGGTGGCTCCAAATTTTGCTAGTATTTATAATTTAAACAAGAAATTACAAAATATATAAAATGGTATTTTTGTCATTTATTATTTACTAACTCCGACTCTAAATGCAACGTTCATAGATTTATAGTACCTTGTCGATATATATGGTGTATTTACGAAGAAGTCATAAACTTTATGAAGGAATTGATGTTGGTTTAAGACTTATGGTTCAAAGTGGTCAAATCGAAAAAAGATGCCTAGGGATGTGGCTCATGCGGGTTTTCCCACGACCAAACCAATCGTCGGACTCATTGTTCGATTTCAGCATTTTAGGCATGGGTGACTTTCACCGCGACATTAGTCGTGGGAGTCGATCTGAGCAGCTTAAATGCCGATTTTGTCTAAGGCTTCATTATTTCCACCACCTCTTCTTCACTCTTCATTAAAAATGTTTGGGAGCATTTACTTCTGCATTTTTTTTTATTAACCTGGATATCCAACTCGCTATGCAAGCTGACTAATCCCAGGGCAACCACCTGGTTTGCAGATAGCCCGGAGACACCGCATTTGAACCTCCGTGGCCAAAAGGGGATTTTTATTTCTCCTTGGATTTGAACTTGGGACCTCCTAGTACTTTTGACTTTTAGAGTCAAGCTCAAACCAATCATGTACCACCCTTGTGGTTTACTTATGCATTTTAGGTGTTCTTGGAAGGTTTTTAAAGCTAGAATTTCAAAAGCTTAGTTCAAGTGTCTAGTCCATCTCCTCCATCCAGAAGTCTTGGCTTTCTAGGTTTCATCTAGAAATCCACCAAGATGAGTTCTTTTCCTATTTTAAAGCTTTTACATGTCTAAATCAGTGGATATTCTTATATTTCAACGAATGTTGTATAGATTTTGTTGTGTAGCAAGTCTTGGACAATTTTGGTTATATCACTCGTGTCTCTATTTTGGGAAAAGGATCTTGCCTTCAATATGAACGTTTTGAGAACTAGTATGGACCTAAGACTTAGGTAATCATAAATTTAGGGCCTGTTTACCTAAACACTTACCCGGTAAGAGCTTAATGGTAAAATTCAACGCTATCGTTTACTTACCTGGTAAGATTTTAGTCTACCAAACCGACATCGTATGTAACAACTTACCCAGTAAGCGCTAACCGTGGTAGGTGTTGTCGTCATCACTTACTAGGTAAGACTCTCGGTCCTTGCCTTCGCTCTTAACAGGTATGATTTTTGGTCCTTGCCATATTTCATCCGGTGAGGTAATGTGACTTGGTAAACGCTTACCCGAGTAAGCATTTGGTAAATGGCCCCTTATATTTGTTGAAATGAGGGGGGTTGATGCACAAAACAACTTGACTTAAGGTTTCACCTTTTTAGGGACAAATAGCTGCATTTGGGATTTTACTCTAAATGTTACGTGACACTACTTAAATTTACGAAAGCTACGGATTTGTCTTGTGGTTTGATTATAGCAATCACCCTTTTTGGGTGGTTTTTGCCGAACCATCCTCTGGGGCCATGGTGTGCTGACATTTATCGATAAGAAGTACCTGGTAAATTCCTCAAGTATGCATGTTTTATCCTTAGTTTCTTGTTGCATAGTATCCATATGCATTGTTCTTATTTATGTCAAAAGAGGAGCTTTGATGTTCTCTTCTTGGTATCATTGGTTCAGGACAAGGGAGAAGTTTTGATGTTTTTGTCTTGCAACCTTTGATGTTAGACACAATGGCGGACTTACTAAGAACTGAGCAGGGTCCTGTGCACCCGTTCACTTGATAATCACAAGAGAAAAAAAAAATTAGGTGGCGTGAAGGTGGATCCGCTTGTTTTTTAGAGTGCCCTCATATATTTTGAAACCTGGTTTGTAGCATGAATGAAAACGAGGCAGGATGGCTTATTAACGTTCTCAACTAACGTTCCTAGTTGTGGGAGGTCTTGGGTTTGGTTCCTACTTATAACAACTAATAAGACTTTTTTGGTTCAAAATCATAGACGGACCTAGAGGGGTTGTTAGGTGGCACGTGCCACCTTATTGTTCCTCCGTGGTAAGGTAAAAAAAATTAGGTTCGTGAAAGATGCAACCGTTTTATTATAGAAGGTGCAACCGTTTTATATGGTGCCACCGTATCCAATTTTTTTTGGTCTGTAATCAAAATTGTAGAGCTGATAACTCCTACACCTAAATCACATTAAATACTCTGTTAATTTCATCTTCATTCCCAAATATTTTTCCATTTTTTGTTGATTAACGACATTATCACTTTCTTGTAGATATATCGTGTTATTGATAATTAACTCTCCTCGAAACTATGAGTCTTTTTCTCTTGGTGTGTTTGTATTTTGTAATTCATTTTTAGTTATTAATCTGATTATTGATATTAGGTGTTCTAAATGCATAACAAAGTGAAATTAAAAAAACAAGGGTGGTGCCTGATTGGTTTGAGTTTAGCTCCAAAGGTCAAAAATACCAGGAGGTCCCAGGTTCAAATCCAAGGAGGAATAAAAAGTCCCTTGTGGCCACGAAGGTTCAAATGCGGTGACTCCAGGCTATCTGCAAAGCAGGTGGTCGTCCTGGGATTAGTCGGCTCGCATAGCGGGTTGGATATCCAGGTTAATAAAAAAAAACACAGGATAATCAATATGAAATACTAAAAATTGGATTTTTTTTGAAATTAACCAAAAAGGTCCCTTAACGGTGAAATTTAACTAAAAGCATGTCGGGTGTAAATGTAATCTTGTGTTTTACTCAAAAGGTCAAGGTTGATTTAATTTGAAAAAAATATATTATTCACAAAATCGACATAATTGACTTTCTCCCGGATTAAATTTTCCCTCCTATAAAATCCGCAACTTTACGGACTTTTACTCCACCTTAAAAGGTGGACCCGCTCAAGAAAATTCCTACGTTCGCAACTGGTTAGACAAGTGAGAAGTTTTGAGGTTCTCATATTGTAACCTTGGGAGTTGGGACCCGATTAACTAAGGAGTTTTGATGTTCTTATCTTAGCCCCAAGTAGAGTATCACTATGGCTGGTATGCTTAAAGTGATTAACTTGTCAACATCTTAACGTGACTTACTTAGTGTTCCGCGACTTGATGGAATCAGATCTCCCCCGTTATCGCAAGATAAATTGTTGTACCTCACCTTTTCGGATAAGAATGATTTGAACGAAACTATGATCCCATACTTCTAATTACCCCCGTTTTTAAGGGAGATAAATCTTTATAACTATCTTATCTTCGAGAATTGTGGTTTTTCAGTATCTATCATACTTGACTGAGCTCATGAGGCGTTAACCTAACTTTTCTTAATGATTATGTTTTAGCAGGGTATAAGCATGATCCCAATTCCCAAGGGTCTTGATTTATAGCTTGGAGTGCCATTTAGAAGGACGAGTAGGTCAGCAGTTTTGGAGATCTCGTACTTTTGAATATAACAACTTTGGTTATTGATATAACCCCCAACTTAAATCTAGTCTTACTACGATTAAATAGAAGTCTTTAGTACTCTGATACATAACTTAATTTCGTGCTATCTTGTAAATATTGATGCCCTTCTGGGTACCAGCTTTTATCGAAGTTCAAATTGATTGCTATTTTCAAATTTTAGGGGTGTTATGCTAAAGTTACATAACCACAGTGTCCATACAAACATATTCTAACTAACCATTTGGGTTGTGGCGCACTGATTAAGTCTCAGAAGGATGTAGTGGAAAATTCCATCTACTCCAGTTTGAATCCAGGCGCTGATATGATCATGGAGGTTCACTTGCGATAACTGTAGGTTATTCATGATCTCCCGAGGATTAACTGATACATATAAACTAGAACAGAAATCCAGAGTTACTAAAAAAAACATATTCTAATTCATTTTACATACTGTTGGCCAAACATATGATCATGGATAACTCGATCCAATTCCAACTCTTTTGATATATTATATTCATTTAAAAATATATGTTGCTTAACTGCAAGGGTGGTGTCTGATTGGTTTGAGCTTGACTCAAAAGGTCAAAAGTACCAGGAGGTCCAGGTTCAAATCCAATGAGGAATAAAAATCCTCTTGTGGTTGTATTAAGATTAGTCAGGTCGCATAACGTGTTAGATATTCAGGTTAATCAAATTTTTTTGCTAAAAAAGTTCCTTAAAATAAATAAATCATATTTAAAATAAAAATTATAAGTTAAAGAAGATATTATTTAGAAAAATCCATGAAATGTTTTTCCTTTTTGGCCAAATGGACATCACAAAACCATAAAAAAAAAAAAAAATATATAAAATGGAAAGTTTGCTACGTCTTCTCCAAGCCACCACACATACGAGGTTATGAGCTACATTTTGGCCTCTGTAACCACACCGCAGTTTTCCTTACCTCCTCCATTGACGATGGAGAGAGCTGTTCTTCTTCGCTCTATCTCTTCATGTACTTCACATGCCTGTATTCGCACCTTTTCTCGTTCTTCCCATCGTCTTTCCTCCAACCGCCACCGTCTTATCCCCAATATCCACCGTCGTTCTCCTATACGCCACCACCTCCGCCGCATCTCCACCGCACTACCATCCCGCCTCCACTTCAATACTCGCTTCTCTCATATATCTCCTAAAGCCATCGCAACATCATCGCCTCAGTTCTCACCTGGTATAACTAGCACCACTACTATGTCATCTTCCGTCTGTTCCGTCGTCAGAGAACTATAATTTGGCCTTTTAATTTCGAATAACTTTGTTACAAATCGTGAACTAAAATTAATCCTTTTTATATTAATTGCTATGAAGATAAATGGGGTTTTCGAATTTCGATTGTCCTTCAAATGTTTATTCAGTTTTATGTTAGTTGAAATTTAGCGCCTTTGAATACAAAAGGCAAGTTATAGTTTTCCTTTTATCGGTACGGAGAGAATATGATCTTATTCATCGACTGATTAACTGGATTTGGTTGTCGTAGTTACTTATTTTCACTTGTTGATATTAATTTTAGGGTTACCGCTTGCTTGCAGATTCTATTGGTGCTCATGATGATGTTGCTGAGAAGCTTGGATTTGAGAAGGTCTCCGAGCAGTTTATCGATGAGTGTAAGTCGACAGCTGTTTTGTATAGACATAAGAAAACTGGTTGCGAAGTAATGTCTGTATCAAATGACGACGAGAACAAGGTCTTTGGTGTAGTTCTCCGGACTCCTCCGTAAGTATCCTTCTCAGAACTTGGAAACTGTTGTTTATGAGTTTATGCATTGTAATTGAAACAACTGATTAGTCATTAGTCCATAATTCATTGTCATTCGTGTGTATGTGCTCCATTCTGGTCTAAATAAATTTGACCAAGTATATATGTGAAATCATAATCATTTCACTTCTACTATTGGTGGGAATGGTAGCTTTCTTGTTGAAGAGCGTGGTGGGAAAGAATGTGATTGAAGAGGAACATCATCAATTGGATCTCATGCCATCATACTTTTGGAAAGTTTGATCCAAAAAAGTGTTTAGAGAAGTGCTATATTATTGGATGGTATATTGCAACAGAATTAGAGCTCACTATGCAAAATTTAGCCCATAATAAGTATATATTGTTTTTGCAATTAGTGACACAAATTCAAGGACATTGCACCACCAGCAAATGGGATCCTTTTGGGAACAAATAAATTTTCAAAGCTTACTCTGATAATGCAACTTTGAAACATTTACCAAATATGAAATTCTTTATAGTATTACTGTGTTATACTAATTGTCACTTCAACGAACTATTAATGCAGGAAAGATTCAACCGGAATTCCTCACATATTGGAACACAGTGTACTATGTGGTTCAAGAAAGTACCCTCTAAAAGAACCATTTGTTGAACTACTGAAGGGGAGCTTGCACACTTTTCTAAATGCATTCACATATCCTGATAGGACATGCTATCCTGTTGCATCCACAAACACAAAGGTTGAGAATATTTGGCGAGTTATTGGAAGTCATAGGTGATGCCTCTTCTAAATCTAGTTTAATAATGTTTTTTGTTTATCGTGTAGGATTTTTATAACTTGGTTGATGTGTACCTGGATGCCGTGTTCTTTCCCAAATGTGTGGAGGACATTCAGACTTTCCAACAAGAGGGCTGGCATTATGAGCTGAATGACCCTTCAGAAGAAATAACTTATAAAGGTCAATATCAATTTTCCTTTTCTGTATTATCAAGTATTGTAATGTACTATTGCCTATTACCGAGTCTTCATGTTATCTACTAGATATATGTAGTACTAATCTCTTAGCATTGAAGTATTTTTTATATGTTATCAGCATGGACATGTTTGTTTAATCTGATATCTTAAGTTAGAAGGTTTCAACTGAACCCTGTTAAAGCTAAGAAATTGAAATAGCATGCATATATTTTGTCTTGATTATTTGTAATACTACTTTCAGGTGTTGTATTCAATGAGATGAAAGGTGTTTACTCCCAACCTGATAACATATTAGGCCGGACATCTCAACAGGTAAATATCCGCTCATTAATGAAGTCATTTTCTCTGGTACGGGCTTGAGTCAACTCATTAAGAAAATATCACTTTGATATTTTTTGTGTTTATCAAAACAGCACCAGTTTAATTGACTTGCTTTTTCTTTGCTAGCCAGAATAGGCATGTATATGTTGTCTTCCAGTAAAGTATAAGATATGAAACGAAGGACCAGTAAGCTCTTAGCAAATGACACTTCCATAATGCAAGCTGCCAACATCATAGAAACTCTTGGTTTAGCACCCATATTCTTTGGAGATTGAAGTGGTCGTTGCTCCTCTCTTTTATTTTCCCATATCTATCCATGGAAGCTCTCACCTTTTATTAATAGGTTGTAGGGGGGGGGGGGGGGGGGGAGTTCCCTGGCATTTGGGCATCATTTGCCGTCAAATATGCGTTACCCCACTTTTGTTGCCATAAATCTGTCTCTAACTATAATCTCAAGAAGTTCACCTGCCAAATTTTTCTTGCAGTTGGTCTTATGTTTCTGCAATTCTGTTCTGTCTTTCGCTTTGCATTTCTATCTTCTGTAAGGGTAATGGAACTGAAACAAAGATGAGTTTTCAAGAAAGATGGCTTTTCACTTGAGATAAATAGGTTGGAAATGTACCGATATGAACAAATCTGTGTAGCTCCTATGATTTCCCATTTATGGTTTGTAGTAAACTAATTATACTTGCAAAGTCTTGTACTCATGACCACTTGTTCATGTTAGTAGCTAGATTGATTTTTATATTTTTATCCTTCCATTAGGGGTGGGACTTGGAAAACTGGTAAGGTTAACCTGTTATGGACAGAAGGTCACTTATTCGAGTCATGGAAACAATTTCTTTGCAAATTGCAATTGGGAGGATATATATACCATATAGAGATTTCTCTCCCAATTCTTGCAAGCCCTAGAAGCTGTGGTGCCTTGGGGTTGCTCATTTATCTTTCATTTTTGTTGATATTTGATTAATATGAACCTTCATAGCTGTTGCCTTGTGATAATTTCTAGACATGACAGGAGGGTGTATGAGATAGCCTGGGCTGGACTTTTTATGAATGTATTGATGAACTTATGCTGGTCTATCTTGATTTGCTCTCCTGAAATAAAATAAATATTATTGCACTTAGCGAGATCTTAGTTTTTGCTCACTGTGCAACCTCAGTGCCTAAAACATTGGCAAGTTATTATATCATTATATGAAAATACAAGAAGGGGAAAAACGGCCTTGTTTTATGAACCTGTGTGCCTCTTAAAAGTAGTGAATCCATGGTTCTGTCTTGTCATGCTGCTTGCAGTGTTGTTGTTGACCTGTACTTCTATTATTTATGTTTTTTTCTTTCATCAGCTGTTTCATGTTTACCTCTTGATTCTTGAGCATTAATATCTCAAACATTGTAGCTGATGCCACATTCTAATTTATGCAGGCTATTTTTCCAGACAATGCTTATGGTGTTGATAGTGGAGGTGATCCCCAAGTTATACCCAAACTCACGTTTGAAGAGTTCAAGGTGTGTATGTGTTCTATATGCTTTAAGTTAACCAACAGTACCAACTTATTCTTTTTATTTTGGAGGGTTATCTTCTAAAGCTTTGTTGTTGTAAAAGCTTGTATCTTAATTAATTATTCTGGTTTACTTCCAGGATAACTCATATCAAGCTATTATCTGAAAGTAGACGAAAATAATGGTGTATCTTCAATTCTTCTTCCAGTCATCATAATGTGTATAATGTAATGCCTTTTGGGAATTATTATGTGTTTCTCGTGTATACATAACTGCATCAATTACTACCTATACTGATTAACTAACCTCTTTAGTCCAAGTAATCCAATATTTGATTGATAATGCATATATAATATATGCCAAGAACCTATCTTTCAGAAATTATTCCCCAGTAACCAAAAATAAAACTCATGTCATATTGCTTTTGTAATGATTCTGGTCCCTTAACATCTCGAACCAAGCATTATTTCCTTGTCCGCTTAGGGGATAGAAACAAGGCCTTGATCAATATGTTCATGTTTTTGTTATCGACAGGAAAGTTGTCAATGTCCTTAACTACAGGGGTTGTTAACATAAATTTCCTCTCCCCCATCATGTTTCCTGTTGCTTGTGCAGTATTGTATGCATCCACCTTAATCAAAATCAAGTTATGTGGGATTCAGGATTTGAAAGTTGTCACTGTGTTTTTAGCTACATATTGTTTGTCTCCATAGGAGGGTAAATGCATTGAAAGATACATATTGTATCCTGTTATGTTTATCGCCTACTTTTTTTAGGCCCAACTTTCATAGTAAATTAGTTGTATAATTCATGTACTTTCAGTAGTTGTGTTTATCTGTTACAATTATCATCAGTTTGAGTGCTTTCTATTTAATAATATAAAATACACAGGATTTTCATCGCAAGTATTACCATCCAAACAATGCCAGGATTTGGTTTTATGGAGATGATGATCCAAATGAGCGTCTGCGCATCTTAAGTGGTACACCTCTTTCTCTCTTGGAATAAATTGTGTTTTTCATTTACTTTATGTGCCATAAAAAGTATTATTGAAGACATGAACACAAATATTGGCCCTTTAGATCTGATGATCAGTTATCTGTTAAAGTACTAAGAATCATTCGTATTTTTTTTCCCTATGAACATCCATCATATAACTACCGTCTTGTTTATCTTCATATTTTTCAAGTGGTATATGAAAACTTGTGCTGTGATCAGTCAGTTTTTTACGTGTTGTTATGTGATAACGAATTTAACGACTGCATGAGAGTAATGAGCCTTGACACATGAATTCAAAGCATTACATTCACAGATAGTTGCTGAAGTATGTGTATGCACCATCTTTGACCTTTGCAGTTTCATTTACCGTCTCATCTCTAATCCTTTTTCAAACCCCATTTCCAAACAGAATATCTGGATATGTTCGATGCAACTTCAGCTCGTCACGAGTCAAAAATTGAAACACAGAAACTGTTCTCCAAGCCAGTTAGAGTTGTTGAGAAATACCCTGCTGCTGAAGGTGGCGATTTGAAGAAAAACCACATGGTATGCCTTAATTGGTTGCTCTCTGATGAGCCTCTGGACTTGGAAACTGAGCTTGCCCTCGGATTTCTTGATCATTTATTGTTGGGAACTCCTGCTTCCCCTCTAAGGAAAATTTTGCTCGAAAGTTGTTTGGGAGATGCCATTGTTGGGGGTGGAATGGAAGATGAGCTCCTTCAGCCTCAGTTTAGCATTGGACTGAAGGGTGTTTCTGAAGAGAACATTCAAAAAGTTGAAGCTTTAATCATGAGCACACTTGAAAAATTGGCAGAGGAAGGTTTCAACATGGAGGCTGTAGAGGCTTCCATGAACACAATCGAGTTTTCTCTCCGAGAAAATAACACTGGATCATTTCCTCGTGGCCTTGCCTTGATGCTTCGTTCTGTTGTAAGTTGAGCTTTCTCGCAGGAATAGTTTCTGGAACTTGAGTCTTATTTCTGATTGTGATTGTTTGTATTTTTTCTGTTTACAGGGAAAGTGGATTTATGATATGGATCCATTTGAACCATTGAAGTACCAGCAACCTCTGGCGGCACTGAAAGCTAGAATTGAAAAGGAAGGATCAAAAGCAGTATTTGCTCCATTGATAAGCAAATTTATATTAAATAATTCTCATCGTGTAACCATTGAGATGCAGGTAATGTTGGGCCCAGTCTTGCAGTTATTGTATATTCATGACCATTCTTTTCTAATTATAAGACATGCTAGCAGTACTAATTTATATGTACTGTTCAATCAGCCTGATCCAGAGAAAGCTTCTCAAGATGAAGCATTAGAGAGAGAAAATTTAGAGAAAGTTAAAGCAGGTATGACCGAGGAAGATCTTGCTGAGTTGGCACGTATGACACATGAGCTACGATTGAAGCAAGAAACTCCTGACCCACCAGAGGCTCTGAAAACTGTTCCAAGCCTCTCTCTGCAAGACATTCCCAAAAAACCTACTCAAATCCCCATCGAGGTAAATTTACCTTGTAATTTATTGATCGAAGAGCTGTATGTGTTGATCTGCTGGCTTGATAACTTTAATAAGCCAAATTTTGACAACTTTAGGTTGGAGATATCAATGGGGTTAAAGTATTGCAGCATGACCTCTTCACAAATGATGTTCTTTACACTGAAATAGTATTCGATATGAGTTCACTGAAGCAAGAACTTCTTCCTCTGGTTCCACTTTTTTGGTAAGATACTGCTGCAAACATGAAGTGTCATAACTCAGTTTTGTTCTTGCCATTATGAACTTTGGTATCATTGCTGCTATCTTTATTGAGAGAAAATTACAAAAACCATTCTTGAGGTATGACCTAACTTTCTTGGATCTGTCTATTGACAAAAAGGTTACAAGTTATGCCTGAATTTTGCAATTTTATATGAAAGTCGTCTCTGAGCCTAACATCATTAGATTTCCAACATTGAGTCAGTCATGTGCTGTTCTTATTTTTTTTGTGAGGTTCTAGTGAAGGGTCATTTTGTAATTGTGTATTATTGTTGTTGTTTTTAGTTTGTTTCTTCATGATCATGATCTTTGATCTTATTCATCATCTTCCATCAACTGCCACTATCATTGCCTCCACCATACCAGAAAATCACCCATAAAAACATAAACAAAAAACATATCGTACCCAATAACAAACCCTAAATAAATAACCAAAAATGAAAATTGAACCCAAACTTAGTTTTTTTTTCAAGATCTTTATCTTCATCTTTCCCCTATCTGCTACCACCAGCAAACCCATGCCACAGAAACTCCCACATACTTTCCCTAGTCAAAACCACAAAATTGAAACAAAACCAAAAACTGAAACCAGTATGAACCCAAATCCAAACCTAAAAACCCCATGTTTTCTGGAAATTAAGCCCTCTTGTTCATGATAAGGCAACGCGGCCATTATACAATGGTGAGAGGGGACAATGTATGTTTGTCATGCACCAAGGTTGATTTTGTAATTTGTGCGTTTAATAGCTACACAAAAAAGCAATATACACTGAGTTTTTGTTGAAATGATGAAAACTTGKTTAKTTATATAGCTCATGTGATTGCTATATGCTATTATCTAACATATAATCATTTCAAATAACTCTATTTCCTGATCCTTGCATCAACATAGAATGTGTGCTTGGTCAATTAAGCTATTTCTTCCCATCAGTGCAAAGCATAGTCATATTTCCAACTAGCAAAAATCTTGGTTCCTTATCAAGCAACCAAATCATTTCTCCCTCTTGACTATTATGTACTAAATTGTTACTACCTTCAGTCAACACAAGGCCTTCCTGTTAGACATGGCATGTATACTTTATTTCCTACCATCATGGACATGCTTCTTGACAGCTTACCATTCAAATTACGAACATATTTCATGTGGAATTGTGGAAGAGCACGGTTGAAATTGTAGAACATGTTTAGTTGTGGTTACTCCTTTTCCTTGTACCAACCCCTCCCCCCCAACAATGCTTGAACGAAGAACAAAGAATTTGTGTAGTGATGGTAAAATCAACAAACTTTTGTACTTGTAGGGCCTTAAGGACGGAATGCTCAACATTGTTGAGATTGTTCTAGGTTCTTTTTTCATCCGTTTCTTAGTAATATCAAGGGCTGCTGAATATATGGGATGATATTGAATATCTAATTTAGTTATACTTTTGTCATATTGATCATCAGTCAAAGGGGCGAGTTAGGCCAGACGCGGCGATCAGTTGGACCTTTGATTCATTAACATCTCTTTTTTCTCAAACACACATTGTGGAATGATTTAATAACAAAAGGCTGACGCCAAATTTGGGGGAAAATAGATAAGTTGTAACTACCATTTGTGAAAGAAGTTTTATGTCTATTGTTTGTGTCCAGTGTATATTTACTGCCATTAATGTCTTAAGTACCTTAATTCACCAATGTCCCAAATGTACATCTAATTCCATCTTTTGGTTTTGTCATGCTAATGATTTCTATGATTAAGCATATTYGATGCCTAGGAAACTTGTATACTCCTATTTTCTTGATTCAAAACCCTACTTCAATATTTTAAAACTTTGCTTCCCTCCTGGGAAGTGAAGGATTCTTCTGTTAATGATATCTGAAAGAAACAACTGGGCACATTTGGATCAAGTTATGTAACAGCCAAGCACAAAAAATGACAGATAGGCTGCAGCCAAAGAGGGAAGAGAAAAGTGGAACTTAGATGGTTAAATTAATAAAACAAAGTACTTATACATCTTTTCCTTTTTTCCACATTGTCAATCATGCTATTGCTTATACTTGTTCTACTACATTGCTCAACAGTCAATCATTGCTGGAGATGGGTACAAAAGACCTAGACTTTGTGCAGCTAAATCAGTTAATTGGAAGGAAGACGGGGGGAATTTCAGTATACCCTTTAACATCATCAAAGYGAGGGTCGGATGCCCCTGTCAGCCATATTATTGTTAGAGGCAAAGCCATGTCTGCACGTACTGAAGATCTTTTTAACCTGGTATGTGCCTTGTATTTTTGGGATGATAATAATAGATTACTTGTGGCTGAACTCAAAGTTTTAGACTTGATCATAATTCCAAAATGGGTGCTCTTTATTTGGTGAGTTACCAAGATTAGGTTGTACCGAGGTTAATATTTGGTTAAATAGTTTAAAGCAGACTCATGTTAGCCATTGCCATAATTACTACTTGCCAAACACCCTTAATATGATCTGCATGTGTTACTAATTTTCTCCACCTGCCGTCTACAGTGCTTCTTTAGTTGATTTTGTAGCATATGCTTTGTAATGACCCCTGGTATAATATTAGAATTCAAGGGACTTTAATTTACCATACATTGTAGGGATTCTGATTATGCAGTTTGCTAGTAAGAAACTAGTGCCATCTCACGTACCCATGTATAAATGTGTATGTGCTGCTAGGGAGGCTGTATGCAACATACAGCCATAAGTTCTCTTGTATCTTGTCTGTATTCTTTTGTAGCAAACATAATAAGCTTACAACACCATCCCTTTTAGGTCAACTGTATTCTCCAAGATGTCCAGTTTGCAGATCAAAAGCGCTTCAAGCAGTTTGTCTCCCAAAGCAAAGCTAGAATGGAGGTATTGATTGGAGTCATGGACAATTTAGTTATCACTGTTATTTCTTTGATATGATCTGATTTTGTAGTCTCTGTATGTAGAATCGATTAAGGGGAAGTGGTCATGGCATTGCAGCTGCAAGGATGGATGCAAAGTTAAACAATGCAGGGTGGATCAGTGAACAGATGGGTGGTGTCAGGTTGGATTTATCGGTGTATTTGAGCATTATTTTATATGGCTGGTATGCTAGTTAAAATGATAAACCATGAGTAAAGTTACTTGGGAAGATGCATATTGATGAGAAAAATAAAGGGAAAGAGGAAAGAACAATGATTTATGAGGGGGCATTTTTCATTATGCACCGGTGTCCTTGTGAACTGTAGCTTTGTGAAGTTGTCGATTAAAATGCATATAAGCTTGAATGATTATGTTTAAATTGTTTTTTCCGTTAAATAGGAGCTTCCATATTTGGTATGGGTATCTTCTGCGAGGCATCAAATTGAATTTATACCACCTGTCTATTATGATCTTGTTTCAAGGCGTCATTGGATTAATATTCAGTGTGTTGCAGTTACCTGGAATTTTTGAAAGATCTTGAAGAGAAAGTCGAACAAGACTGGAGTGGAATTTCATCGTCCCTTGAAGAGATACGCAAAACCCTGCTCTCAAAGAATGGTTGCCTTGTGAATCTCACCTCTGACGGGAAAAACCTTAAAAACTCCGAGAGATATGTTGGGAAGTTCCTTGATTTGCTTCCAAGTACTTCTCCAGTTACATCAGCTTCTTGGAATGCACGACTTCCTTCGACGAATGAAGCAATCATAATACCTACTCAGGTTGGTTTCTATGCTAATTAAACAATTATTTCTCTTCAAGTTTTCATTATTAAATTGCTTTATCATAATTGCAGGTAAATTATGTCGGAAAAGCTGCAAATCTATATGGAACTGGTTATCAACTCAAGGGGAGTGCCTATGTTATATCTAAACACATAAGTAATACTTGGTTATGGGATCGTGTGCGAGTTAGTGGTGGTGCTTATGGAGGCTTCTGTGATTTCGACACTCATTCAGGTAAAAAGCAAGCAATTTTTTTTTTCCTTGTCAACTTTGTTTTGTATGTTCCTTAACCAATTTCTGCAAACAGGAGTATTCTCATTTCTATCTTATCGGGATCCTAATTTGCTGAAGACTCTAGATGTATATGATGGAACAAGTGATTTCCTACGTCAAATGGAAACAGATGATGATACTCTTACAAAGGCAATCATTGGGACAATTGGTGATGTAGATTCATACCAATTACCCGATGCCAAAGGATATAGCAGGTAAGTTTTTACCTTTTTTCCCTAAAAAATGTTATGGCAGCAAGTAGACCATTTAAAGTACAAGCCAACTGTTGAAAGTACTGCAACGACCTCTGCCAATTAGTATTTTTATTAATTTTATCATTAGCATTTATAATTGAAACAAGAAAGTACCAGAATGTTATAAAGGGGTATTTTGGTCATTTATTATTATTTCATTACAATTTTAAAGTTATATTCTGTGGACCAAACCGATAAATTTCAATTTATCTGATGGAATTGTCGGATTCCATTCCATGCCAACCAAATGCCTGGCCAAACATTCTGCCAAACCTGATTCAATGCCATTCCAATTTCTTTGACACATTCTATTCACTCCCATAAACATTCTGCAAACCAAACACCCAATCATTCTCCTGAACTACTCTTAGAGACCATCTAATGTCCATCAAATTTAAGATGTTGTTGGGGTCACGTGACGAACATGTTAATGATGTGAACTGGTATTTGCAGCTTATTGCGATACTTATTGGGAATCACAGAAGAAGAAAGACAAGTAAGACGCGAGGAAATACTATCGACAAGGTACAGTCCGCATTTTTTCAAAACTTCTGATAGTTGCATATCGTGACGATGCTCATTTATCTTTTTCTATTTTTTAAAGCTTGAAGGACTTCCAAGAATTTGCAAATGCAATTGATGCTATCAAGGATCAAGGCGTTGTGGTAGCTGTGGCATCGCCTGATGACGTTGATGCTGCAAACAAGGAACGTTCCAACTTCTTTCAAGTGAAGAAAGCCCTCTAAGAATTACGAGTGCTGGCAGATTTTTCATTCAACTTTTCGTTGCTGGTACAATTTTCTTGAAATTTCTATGACGAAATTTATTTAACCAGCATGACTCAGCTTAATAGCTTGAAATCATGGCAGAGTACTCTTTATATCGAACAACATTATAGAAATCACATTTTTAGATTAGGACAACGAGATGGAAACGATTAGATGACTGAGACATGTCCAACTCACACCGTTTCATTCCATTTATATCATGTTCTTCTCTGAAACCTCCATGCACACTTTTTTGTTTACATATTTCATGGTAAATATTATTTCACACATTTTCAAGCTACTTATATATATATATATATATATATATATATATATATATATATATATGATTGTGTCAGTTTCTGAGCAAAGGAAAAGTATCCAAATTTATAAGCTTTATTAGCTGCTTTTGTATGCAAATGGGAAGCATATTAGGATCAAAAGGTGATGAATATACTTACAAATTAGGGTTCCAAAAGTCAAAAGTTTGACTTGTATCTAGAATGAAGATGATAGATATATAGCATTTATGTAGTGTGGGGAAGGTGATAATGAAGAAACACAAGGAAAGGCAACCCCATCTTTACTATATGAATTGAGAGAGTGAAAGAATAGTGTCAGAAGGTTGGAGTTTGGGGTCTTAACTGCAACTGGGTTGGGTACAATACCAGTGGTCTTGTTTCTAATTGCCTTTTTATCTATCTTGCTTGCATTGGGGGTACTTTTATGGTCCATCCCTACCCTCATCTTATTATACCTTCTTTTCCAATATTGGCTTATAATTTACCTCTCTATCTTATTGCAGAACTGAATGCCTGCAGGTACAGTTGCACTTTCAGTTTTTGCTACATCACTTTCTTCCATCTCTATCTTCTACTTGTACCCTGCAACTTAACTAAGCTTTTAACAACAAAATCAAACATCATTTTGATTCCAAATCTTTAGCAACAAAATAGCCTAGAGTTTTCATTTACTGAAACTAAGGGTCCGTTTACCAAATGCTTACTTACTGGGTAAACGTTTTCTGGCTAGAGTTATAACGTTTACTTATCGGGTAACATTCTTGGCCATCAAAATGGATTGTTGGTGTCTCTTACTCGGCAAGCGTCAACCAGTTGGTCAATTATACATGACTGTTTGGTAGTGACTTAATAATATAGAAAATGACTTATTCAGTAGACTTCTAGAGAGAGCTTTATGGAGAAAGCCAAGTTTTTTTTGAACCCTCAATTATAAGAGAGATTAATCCATACAGACAATTTTATCCATACATGATTTAAGAGGTTGGTTGTTTACCTCTTTAATAGTTCATTTAAAATGCAACATCTGAATCATTAAGAAGTGAATCTTGTTTGGCAAAAAAAAAAGTCTGCCTCTTAATGGTTCTAAAACCCTTTGAATGATTTTGTATCCTGAGTCTTCCTTAATCATTAAGTGCCCTGATTTCATTGTAAACACTTATCAAACAATTATATTTCATCTTGCACTATATCATGAGAGCCTCGTAATCATTCTGATCATTTAATGATTCTGCACAATACCATTTAGCAACTTCCAAACAACCCCTTAATAGAAAACCAACCAAATAGTCCTAAGGCTCTTCTATTTCACTTACTGGGTAAGATTCGATTCTTGTCATGCTCATTCGGTAAGGTAACCGACACCCTATAAGCATTTTCATTTGGTAAATGGGTTTTAAGCGGTTGTTTACTACTTGTTTACCATCAAAGGTAGGAGTTGCTTACCTAGTCAAAGATGATGTTATGCTGAATGAAATGCTGGGTAAGTGATTAAGTTGGATTCAGCTGTTAATGTTGAGGCAATTAAGTCAATGGAGATTGAAAATAGGTGGGGTAGGTTGAATGAATTATTAAGAAGAAAAGGGTTGTTATAATTAGGGAAATTTATAAAAATAACCGGTTTACACAACCCTTTGCCACAAAATAACCACATTTTAGAGGTTTTGC